GTAACTCTGCTTTATAAATTTTATAAAGTAAAGTTACTTCCCTACTTTATAAATCACCATTACTGTGAAATCGGTGGGCGGTTAGAAAATTTTACTACTAACAGAGATACAAAAGTGGGCGGTAGGTATAAAAAGGTTGACTACCCCTGCCTTAAGACAACATAGTGAAATATGCAAAAAAAGGAAGGAAACCTGAGTTTACCCATTGAGAGGAGGTTTCTGGGGGAGGAAGCTGCAGAATGCAACCTGATAAAGCACTGTCATTCTTCCACTAAAATTTACATGGGTGGGATTACTTTCTTACCGCACTTTATTATTTTTATAAATAACTCAGGGTGGCAAATATCCCTAATATTCTTTCCTCTTATTTCCCCACAACAATCCTGTGAGGTGTGGGCTGAGAGAGAGTGACTGAATAAAAGGTGTATCTTATGCAGCCCATATCAGAGGTGGTATTCAGCAGGTTCTGGCCAGTTTTGGAGAACTGGTAGCGGAAATTTTGAGTAGTTTGGAGAACCGGTAAATACCTCCTCTGATGGGCTCTGCCCCATCTATTCTCTGTCTGCTTCCTGAGTCTCAGCTGATGGGGAGGAAGTGGGGATTTTGCAGTAACCTTCCCCTGGAGTGGGTGGGAAAGGAGATTTTACAGTATCCTTCCTCTGCCACATCCACCAAGCCACGCAACACCCACCAAGCCACGCCCACAGAACCGGTAGTAAAAAAAATAGAATCTCACCACTGGCCCATATGTCACAGAATGACCGGAGTACGTTATTTTATTTATCTTCTAATTAGGGCAGTAAAAAAAATCAAAGAGAATTGCAGCCCATAATACATTGGTCATAGTACATGAATAGGTAGATATTAACAGTAAGCTAAACTTCTTGATAACAAAAAGAAAGAAATGAAGTATTCCATCTGGGCTAATACATATTTTTTAAGCGCCATATCTTTAAATATTTACTAACATGCATGTTGCCTGTGCCAAGGACTTGTGCTATAAAAGTCCTAAATAAATCTCTGTCCCCAAAAGGAATGTCCTGGGAAAAAGCTCAATGTCCATTTCCCCATGCCTATATGAAATATAATATTGACATTTGACACCGTTTAAGTTAACTGCATACACTCCAGTTTCATAGCTTTTCCCAAAATGAAAAAAAAGGGATAATCTTACTTTAAAATCTTTCAAGAGGCTGATAGGGAAAATGGTGGTTTTAAATAGTTTGTATTTTGCTACCAAATAATATTTTGATTTATCAGTCAATTGCTTTTTATTAGCACCACTATAATAAGTATTATGTAAAGAAGCATAAAACAACTTACCACTTACAACCATCCATTGAGCAACTGCTTAAAGTTACATAATAATAAATAAAGTTACATAATAAATAAATAAATAAATAAATAAATAAATAAATAAATAAATAAAATACAATGGTGTTGGGGAAAAAATGACTCACAACCGGGCCTCACTCTTAAGACTGTGCCATCACATGATCAACATTCAAGCTCTTGGAAATCAGCAAATATTAATGATAGTTGCAGCATCCCGGAATCATGTGATTGCTATTTGCAACCTTCCCAGACAGCTTCTGACAAGCAAAGTCAATGGGGAAACCAGATTTGCTTAATACAGTGCAATTCACTTAACAAAGGCAGTGATTTCCTTAACATCTGTGGCTAAATAGGTTATAAAATTGGGCATGACTCACTTAAGAACTTATGATTCCAATTATGAAATCTGTACTTCCTGTATATATATTTTATTCTGGTATGTATTCCCCATATGAAGTTTTGTAAGCATTCATAAAATACTTATGTAATTCTGCCCATGTGTCCTCCAATACTCATAACATTTGAATATTTAGACTCTCCCTTTTTAGTATGATTTTGCCAAGATATACTTATTATAATAAAAGTTGATACTAATAAAAACTGGAATCACAAGTTTTCCTAAATAGTAGCACCTTTGCTGAACTGAAAATAAACTGTTACAAAAAATTCACTACTTAGCTATTTTCCCCATGCTCTTGTTTTTTACAACTCTTTGTTTTCACAATCATGCTATGCACATTTCCTTCCGTTAACTTGTGCAAATAGCTTCTATTACATGTATGGTACTATGTTTAGTACTTAAGAATTATATATTTACAGTAATCCACTGTGTAGTGTGATAAGTGTTATAAACTTAATCCACTTCTGTCAACTTTCAACAAATTTATTCCTATATGAATTTATAGAGTATTTATTTGTTTTTTTAACAGTGCCTATAATTTACCCCAGTCCCCACAGACCTGGGTAATGTATAAAAACAAATAGAAACCAAGACAAAAGAACTCCAACTTCAGTATCACAGTAATCCCTGATCTTAAATCTAGGATAAAACACACCTGCCAAATTATTTACATCATCACAGGCTTGCAATAGTTCCACCCAAGTTCCATCCAAATTATTTTACTGGCATGAATAATGTACAGGTAAAATAATATTGGGAGCAATACACAATGGATATTGCTTATGTAACAATGGGAAAACAAAATAAAATCCAGTTGAAGGGGCGGGGGATCCCTTAAGAATGTTAACTATTGCCAGCATATCTGCTTAAAGTGCCTTTCTAACCCCAATGAATGTGTGTGTGTGTGTGTGTGTGTGTGTGTGTGTTTGTGTATCTGTATAGAAAGAGAAATAAAGAGAACTAAGATCAGGCAATGATGAGATGGGACCCATCTAGTGGCTATATATGAGAATATGCTGTGTAAATTTTTCATAATGGCTATGCCATTGTGACATTGCAACTGGCAACACTCCTATTTACCAGGAAGTAAATTGTGCTTTTTTGTTCCCCTTTAGTCTGAGAATGCACAGTCCTACCTCTCTTTGTATTTGTTTCTGGATAGGTGAGCGTAATTTCATACAAAACTGCAACATACCACATTTCTTTTCTAAAAAATATCTGATTTTCAAAGGTGTTCTTGAAAATGAATATAATATCAGGGAGGCATTGCGCAGCATGTCAGAAGGAAGAATCAATTCAGATCTGGGTGTGAGAATAACCAGATGCCAATGGGCAAGGTATGAAGTATCTAGTGCCTGACTTATGCATATTGTAGTTTAAAAGATTTAGCAGTTACGCCTTCTAACAGGTGAATGATAAATTGCACACTGATCCTTCCATCAACAGAAGTGTATTTGTTAAAATTAAGCACACAACTTTTTCTACGATTTGCTTTTATTTTAAAATCTCGTTTTTTTCTTCTTCTGAAGATCTAACAACTCCCAGCTTGTACAATTAATTTAGAAGCCCAAATCTGATTTCCTGTACTTATCAGAAACTATAAACCTCATATAGTATCAATACTATGCACTGTATGTGTATTAATTTTTAGGGTGTTTTTTTCTCCTACTAGAGTTTTTCTACCATTAAGACTCCTTTCTTTCACCATTCATATTACTGTACCAAGTGTTTAGTCCCTAGCTGGGTTTTCTTCCCATTGCAGTATTAAATCTATTTTAAATAACTCAAAAACTAGCATTTAGTGCAAGAGGATTATAAATTACAAGGTATTCCACAGAGCTGATTCCTGCATCATCAGTGAAATAAAATTATTGCAAGCTTCCAAACTAGAATCAAGATGGTCAAATATACACAACAATCCTACAGAAAGTGAAGCAAGTGTATAGTCATCAGAACACAATGGGGTTGTTCAGTAAACCAGACACTGCCGTTTCTTTTGCACCATCCCGATTAGTCACCTTTGTAGCAATCTTCCCTCTCCCCGCCCATATTTACAACTGCTTCTCAACTAGCAGTTTTGAGTTGTGACGTTTGCAGTTTTCAACTCAGGTAAGGCGTCAGTGAAACAGTCGCCGCAGAGAATTAACGGTTCCAAAAACTGCTATTAAAAATGCAGAGTCACTGAGGGGGGGGGGGGGACAAAACAGGGAGGCCTGAATTCCCCACGCCCTTCTTGCTCTGGGAGAGATATGTTCAATTATACGGGTAAACAGAAAAGGCGACAGTCTGCTTTCGGAATCTGGCTGGCAGTTTT